TCGAAGAGGACTTCCATCCTTGATTGTATCTGATAACAGTAAAACCTTTAAGTCCTCAGCTAAGACTCTTATTGCCATCTTTAAACACCCTGCTACTCAACATTACCTCTCAGGAGTCAGGATAGAATGGCAATTCAATTTAGAGAAGGCCCCTTGGTGGGGAGGCATGTTTGAAAGGTTGGTGGGCTCAATGAAACGTTGTTTAAGAAAGACAGTTGGGAAATCTAAACTGACCTTTGATGAATTATCTACTGTTATCACGGAAGTTGAGGGAGTATTAAACTCCAGACCACTGTCATTCGTATCAACAGAAGATCTAGAAGAGCCTCTCACCCCAGCTCATTTTCTACTTGGTCGTAGATCACTCAGTCTTCCAGACTCATTCTGCTATGGTGAAGAGTCAGAAGACATCGATATTACCTCCTCAGCTCTTACTAAGCGAATGAAACATCTCAATTCAACCCTCGAGCAATTTTGGAGAAGATGGACAAATGAATACTTGCTTGAGCTGAGGGAAGCACACAGATATAGTAAGGGAAGTAGAAACAGTAGTATTCCTACTGTTGGAGACATTGTACTAGTGCATGATGAGGACAAGCCACGGGGATTTTGGAAACTCTCTAGAATAATGGAATTGATTGTTGGCAGTGATGGAAAAATAAGAGGAGCTATTGTAAGGATTGGAAATAAAAGGCTCAGGAGACCACTGCAGAAACTATACCCTCTTGAGGTATCACAACAAGATCCCCCTGATAGCTTGTCTGACTCGTCCAATGTTACATCTGACGTACTTACCGATATTACACCCCGTCGATCGACTCGCTCTACTAACCAAATGACCCTCGATCGAATGCAGGCTTGTTGATTACAATTTCTTGATGACAATTAAGTATGTTATGCTAATAATGTATTTACTCATTATTGTGTATTGTATCATTCTCTAACTATGTTTATTATTGTGAGATTTATTATTACTTTTTTGTATAACATGAGAGAGTTGACCAATGAACTATGGTCAACTGTGGGAAGTGTGGGAAATGTTATACATGCATTGATATGTGATTATTATAATTGATTATTCATTGACCACATGACAGTTTTTTTTTATGGATGATAATGTGATGATTGATTGTACTAACAAACAAAGAGAAGAACAAACAAGAGCCAGAAATACAGTCCACAGAAAGAGAAATATAGTACAGGGCTATGGTCAACTACAGACAGTAGCTGGTGGCTATGCCATTGTAAACAGTTTCAGACAAATGATGGCAAGCCACCTGAGGATTAGTCTTGCTAGCCAGACCATTTTTCAGCCTACAGTCATTGGTATGGACCCCCACCATCCACCCCAATGACTGCGGGCTAGGGAACAGTCGGGCTAGCAAGACTGCTACCTGAGAATATTTTGATGCCCGAGTGCTCTGTTGAATTGCTGATTACAGGCTTCCATCGAGCTTATATATTATTTTTTAAATTAATCATTATATAAGTTACTTTTAAAATTAACATCTAGTGCCTCTTTCACAAGTACAAGGCTATTACAGTTCTGTGTGGTTCGCTACATGCAACGGTATCATATATACAGGACCTGTGCTAACTTTGATCTGCCCACTCAAGGGGATACACTGACTTACATTCAGGAGCAGGTTGATCTGACGCATACTAGAACCATTTTTGTGTGAGTACCTGATGTTAGTAGAACAGCTAGTGTATTTTCATGAATTGAACTGTATTACTACACACTGCTACCTATAAAAAGTAATTTTTTAATTCAAAATTGCAAGTCTTTCATGGTGTACCGCATCCATACAGATAGTTAATTTCATTATGGCGTATCCACATGTTACTTTCATTTTATTAACTATGAATAAAATGATTCTAATTAGATCATACTTACCTTGAATTATTCCACAATTTTAGGTTAATTTACAAAATTTTTTATTGTTGTACAGACAGTAAATTATGCAATACTCTGGCATCAAATTTAAGAAACTGAAAAAGCCTCAAGTACCTAACTGCAAGAGTACATAATTCACAGAGAGTGTCTAACCGCATTATAGTAGCTGAAACATGACCACGTAGAACTTAGTCACGTGAGACCAGAAGCATGGGTGTACTTACTAAAAACACGTGTAGAAGTTAGCCTAAAGAACAGTGCAGAAAACTTGAAGCTTTACACATTACACAAGTACACTTTATAATGCTGCTGAAGTCTCATATGCAGTAGTGCTATAGCAAAGGCACCAAAGCGGCTGGTAAACCTGGTTGAGCAAACTTAGCAGCCATTTTTTCTTACTCAGCCACACCCAGTATGCGGGAATGTCCAAAGATGCACAAGAAAAGACTAGTCGGTGATGTTTCAGCTATTATAGTACAGTTAGACACTCTCTGTAGATTTAGTACTGTTGCTGACTGCTAAAGTTCATGTCGGAATCTATACAACTATGTTCCTCATTGTTCCTGGTATATTGCTGAACTGAAGCAATATTTAGAGGATAATAATGGTGATAGCACTTTGGCTAACATAAAAGTAACCTGTCCTAAAAAAGTTTCAGTATTTCATAGCAATTAATTCTCTTACTTAATTTTAACTTTATTTAATATAAATAAGGCTGAAACTTTATGGTGCATTTGAAATAGAACAGCAGTTTCATGTTTAGAAAGGTACCATTCTAATTTAGGAAAACATGCAATTTATACTCACACTAGTTATAAAGACAGAGTCAATGAGAAGGTTGTTTCGAAACAATTAAAGCAACTGTCTTCAGAGTACTCTGGAAAATACAATAATCAGCAGATTAGAATTGAATTAATGTAATTCATCAAAATGTCACATGTACTGTAATTTAGAATGTCTTTATCGTTATTTTGAGTCAAGGAGGCGTATTTTCCTTGACAGCCGTGTTGAGAAAAAGAAAGCTAATGACCAAAAGACTAAAGTAACATGCTAAAAACAGTATGACATTAGCATTCTTATTGCTATCATATAATGTGCAACAATTGTAATCGGACCATGTTATGACCACAGCCTATAGTTAAGAGAGATAACCTGATATTTTTTGTTAAAATCATACATGTGTATTCATCAGTTCTCTAAACTTACTGCAATTGCTTCATTATTAGTGATGGGCGCAACCAGATATTTCTATTATGGTTTGATACAGAGTACTTCCATTGAAAGTATTGATGGTACCAAGTACGGTTCAGAGTACATTTTAATACATTTTCAGATCTTTACATTTTTATTGATTAAATGAATTAAAGTCACTAAAATGAGAAAGAGTTAATAATTGTAAAATGAATAAGTGACTAAATGAGAATATATTGAAGTGATTAGGAAAGTAAGTGAATAAATTATTCTAAAATGCAGAAAAGTCTATAAGCTTTTTTCAATAAAAGAAGTAAATCAATGTTCTTTGGTTTTAGTCTATTTTGTCTTTTTGATACCAAGTGCCATGACTTAGAAAATAGCCTTCTGATAAAACAGAGGAGCCAGGTATGCGTAAGTACTTTTTTGCGCTCTGCATAAGCCTAGGAAAACAATGTTGATTATCTTTCCACCAAAGCAGTAGATTTGAGGAATTATTGGTTCCTTAAAGTGTCTCTTAACTTCAATAATGGTTTCTGTTCCTGCAGTTCTGTGAGACATTGATTCAAAACTATCCCTTGAAACTTTGTGTGCCGGCCTCTTAGCTATTTTCAGTTGCTTCAGTGGTTTCACTAGCGATTAATCGAGCTACTGCATTTCTTATACGTGAAACAGCAAAATCAGAGGCTGCAGGGCTGGAGAATTGTAGCTTCTTGAAGCAAGGGTCTAGAAGTGTAGTAGCAGCAGTAACATAAGCTCCCTCAGTAGAAGAAAAGCGGCTTGCTAACTCAGCAGAGATATTTACCGCTAAAGGAAGAGTTGATAGATGAGACTTTATGTTCTCTTAAAGGAGCTTAACAAGGGGAATTATCATTGAAACTGACACATACTTGTCCCCAGATATAATTAATTTCTGTTACATCCAGAAAGGCTGCAGGACAATGAGGCAATTTGAAATGAGTTCCATACCTTTATTTTTTAGACAAAGATGGTTGTGCCCAAGTAGACACAAGGCAGTTGTGATGGTTTCAAATTGGTCATGTATCCTGGTAAACATCAGGAAATTCAAGTTCCATCTTGTGGATGCTTCTTGTACTAGTTTGTGGTCTGAAACATTTAGCTGCTTCTGGACTTCTTTTAATTTTTTGATGACAAGTAAAAAACAATATCCTTGCTCCTCTGCTGTAGACTTCTTACATCTGACTCCCGTTTGATGGAGTCTTGAACAACAAAGTTCAATGAATGAGCAAAGCATGGAAGATGCCTCTGTGCCTTTCTTACAATAGCTGAAACCATGTTGCTGGCATTGTCTGTAACAACACAGACCACTTTATCAGTAATCTGCCAATCAGTTGTCACCCTTTCTAATTTACTGGCATTATTATCACTAGTATGTGCCTCTGGAAATTCAAATGTCTTTATTACAGATGTTTTATGTTCCCAGTCCTTAGAGTCGTTATACAGCAGTATGCTTTTGTTTGCAGTCATGTCCAAATATCAGTAGAGATAGCCACATGCTCCACAGTAGCCAGTTCACTCATTATTTTGCTTCTGAGGTTTTGATATGTATCTGGAAGCTTTTCATCACTGTCTGACGACATAGAACTTCATATTGCTTGTGAAGAGTGTAAACAAACACTTTAAAACCTCTATCTTCAACTACAGAGACAGGTTGTAGATCTGTAGCTATCATTTTGATGAGAGCATCATCTATTTCGCCTTATTTGCTGATTCCTTAGGATAGTTCTGAGACAGCTCAGTAGATTGTGTAAGAGTTAGTTGACCTTCTTTTGGCTCACCACGTTTCTTCTTTTCTGCTGCAATTTGTGCTGCACATTCTTCATGCTCTTTGCTGTTTAGTTTTTAGATGTTTCTGGTGTTTCGATGAGCTTGTTTAATTTTAGTGCAACAATCTTCGACCTTACATGTAGCTGTCTTCTATCTTTTTGAAGTAGTTCCAAACTGAGCTTCTTGATCTTTTAGCCATAGCAAGCACTCCTCTGATATTCTTGTCCACTAATTGACTCTCAAAGACTCTGCTATTTATACGATTGCTATAAGAGCATGATGGTGCATAAAATGATTGGGCTATGCTACATCATGCAGGCATGATAGTGCCGCAATTTTGAGCAATAGGCGAATAGGCTACTTTACAACACCATTTAATTATCAGCTACTAAAAATAGAATGTGTCATTCTTAGGTAATCATTAATAATTATTAACAGTTATAACGGTTAATTAATGTTAAGGGTGTGGTTTTTAGGATTTGGTACCAGTAAGTTAAGCACTGGAACAATAGAACCAGATACTTCAGAACCGATACCGCCCATCACTATTCATTGTATACTAGCTTGTATCTATTTATCATGTATGCTTGAGTATTATTGTCATTTAAAGCATGATTAATAAGTTTACTGTAACCAACCCTATCCTATTGCTAGTGCATTTTATGGTTTCATTTTATAGCTTCTTAATAGACGTGAAGCTGTATTGAAAGGGACAAACAGAAAATACTGGATTAAAATTAATTACAACATGTCATTAGAGATCTCTGATGTGATGGTGTTGGCAATATAGTTTATAAAGTACACTCTCCAGCTTGGCGATCAGCAGGTTTATACAAATGATGTTTGTAATGAGTTTTATGAATCACTACTATCTACATGTAACTCTAAGTAGCTTAATTAAGAGACTAGATTCTTGCATTGAGAAGAATATTGCTTCAGAACCAAATTGGGGAAATGGCTTCCTTTGTTACTAAAGAATAGCCAGTTAA